TATTTTGAATAACTATTCTAAATACATGATATTCATTTCTTTTTGGGCGCATTCTTGCAAGTTCTTTTGTTATGCCCTTCACCTCCACAATTTCCACATGACACCTTGTACTACTTTGACTTTATTTCATCAAATGTTTTATATCTTTCCTTGTGAGGTCTCCCTGGCTGCCTTTTATCTCCCGCCGGTGGCTTTACTACCTCATCCAAAATATGTTGTGGCACATCCCATTTGCTTTCATCAGGAAGAGGATTTACTGGCATTTCATAGGTAAGCAGAAGGCTCTTCCTTGTGTAATACGGAGAGCAAAGTCTTCGTATGTTTCCTTCCTGTGCCTTAATGCTGCCAAAGCATGCGCACATGGAAGTTCATCAAGTTGGAATTGTCCGCAGCTACATTTCTTGTTTTCTAGACACACAATGTACCGCTTCACACCATCTAACACAGTATGTATATGATCTGTTGAAGCCCTCACCTACAATTGAAGAACAAACAGAAATAATAATATATCAATCATTAAAAATGATTATCCACAACTTACCTACAAATCAGCTACAAATACATTACAACTTATCTACAATCTACAATTACCCACAATTTGACTACAGTTTATCTACAATCTGGAAACAATGCATATTAAGCAATTTATTTTTTTTCCCACCAAACAAACAGATCTTACCCTTAGTTTCTGAGATAATGTATTGTTGTCATCCAATTCTTTATTGAATTTGTACCCAAGGTATGTGAAAGTACCCTTTGCCTTCAATAACTTCTCTTTCGTCCAACGTTCAAGAAGCGTCCTCATATACTCTAATAGATCATATATTGGCAGCTCTCTTGCCTCTTTTGTTACAGCATTCAACGACTCGGCAATGTTTGATGTCATAGTAAAAGTTCTATTCACCGTTGCATGTACTCTTGACCATCTATGATAGCCAATATCATATAGGTAAGATTTCACACGCGGGTCTACCTCTTCAATCTTCAACATCCTTTCATTAAATTCATCCAGAGTGTATGACCGTGCTGTAGCAAAGTACAATTCATGTAATTGTAGATGTCCCTTCTTGAATTTGGACCTTATATTTGTCCAAATATGCCACATGCAAGAGTAGTGTGGCATGCCCGGATAGACAATTGATGTTGCCTTCAGTATACTCTCATTCCTATCTGAAACAACACACATTGAAGGTCTTTCACCATATGCCTCCTTGAATTGCTCAAAGAACCACTTCCAAGACGCGTCGTTTTCAGAATCAACCACAGCATATGCCAAGGGCAATATAGTACCTACATTTTTAATTCATAAAATATTAATTGGCAGCCCTGAAAAGGTATATAAAAATATAATTAAATAACAACTACAATATATATTCAGAATATAGACAATTTATCTACATTTTTTTCTGTTAACTACAAAATAACTACAATACAACTACAATTTAACTACATTTTGCAGACTGCCTACAAAATAACTACAAAATTATTACATTTTTTACCTGCTGCATCCATGGTGCTTGCTGTAAGCATAATCCCCCTGTAGGCTGACTTTAAGAATGTCCCATCAACAACTACTACTGGCCTACAATGTTGCCAACCACTTATTGATGTACAAAGAGCAACAAATGCGTATAAGAAGCAATCATCTGCTGCCTTCTTCAATTTAACAACAGAACCAGGATAAGTCTCCTCAAGAATATAAAAATATTTGGGTAATTTGCTGTAGGAGTCAGACGGATTCCCTCTCAAAAACTATAAAGCCTTTTCCTTGGCTCTCCATGCTTGCATGTAGCTTAGGTTCAGTCCATGTTCGGATAACATGTCAGTTTGTATGTCCTTTGGTGTGTAAACAGTCTTAGGATCACAATACTTTGGAACGACCATGCTACCAACTACAGCTGCAGTACGTTTGCGCTGTATGAATGTTTCGTCCATTAAGGAGCATGTGTGTTGTCGGCTGAAACTCCTTATCTTGAACATTGCCGAATCATTAATTGACGTTGCCTTGAAGTGCCATTTACAGTTTTCAGCAACGCATATAAGCCAGTAGCTACAAAAAAATACAATATTTAATACAGGCTATAGATGTAGAAGCAACAAAAAGGACTGTTTTAACACAAATTCGTCAAAACTACAATTAACTACAGTTTAACTACAATTTAACTACAATTTATAAAAACCACATATCTTCACTAAGACACTGCTTTTATTGATCTATTCTCCACAAATAAATCCATACCTTCTATGACTTGATCTTTTTACTCTGAACTGGAACTTGTGCATCACAGAAAAATTCTTCATTGCAGCAGCTACAGTTTGCTTGTCCTGATAAACTTGTCCTTCTTCAATATATGTTTGCGTAGATTCAGTTATTATTTGACTTTGATATTCCTCTATAGCTGGTGAGGATGGAATTTCAAGTAACATTAGTGATCCTGACGAACCTGCAGCAACATAGATATAAATGTAGTAACTATGCAGATAATTTTGAAAACGACATTGCTTTATGAGCTTCAGTATATTGTTTTTTGTAGTTAATTTGTAGATAAATGTTGTAATATTGTAGATAACACACTAACACAATAACTCTCTGCAATGTCAAATTAAACATACCTGCACTTGTGCTATTGTTGGTGATTGCCAATTCCATATTGAAATCTCTTACACTTATACATAAAGGATACGAACCTAAGTTCTTATTGTCCTTTTTGGTCTCCATATACACACGAACCCCCATATCATTCCTAATCTCGATTGGAGGACAATTGTCGTTAACAATGTATTTGATTTCTACAATTTTATCCGATGTATCAATCGATAGTTGTTCTGCAATTGTAGAAATCAGAATTCCGTAGCTTGCATTCTCATCTACCACAATGGCATCAACTTCAAAATCTCTAAATCTGTCATAGTTATCCCAATTTCCATTCAATTTTAGCATTATTGGGATTTTTGACATGATTTAGTGTAGTTGAGAGAAAAGAGATGAAGAACAGATATAGGTTCGACAATTTGAGTACTGAGGTCGATGAAGAACAATTTTGAATTCTACAATTTGTATTGCGTTGTAGAATTTGTAAAAGCAAATTGAGTACTGGAGCTCCTGAAGCTTGCGTTGTTTTAGAATTGTAGTGAATGAGAGTATTTCGCAGCAATGAGATCTCTTTACGTTTCAAAATTCGTATTTAATGTGGAAAGAATCAAACGCAGATTTCGTGCCTTCTTTTTAGCGCGTTTTAAATGGGAGAATCTTCCTAATTATGGATTGGTATATAAATTGTAGTAAAGTGGACTGGGCGGGTAATTAACCAATTATGAACATTTTTGATAATAAGGTTTCTTATATGGTATAGATAGGAAAAAATCCCTTTTTCAATTCATTCTCAAAGCCCGAATGTGAGACCTCACCTTAAGAGCGGAAAATTTTCATTTTGTTCCTTTAGAATTGAGACGTTGATCGTGAAATTATATCAGCTCAAAGTTGAGCAACGGACTACCCTCAGCATCATTTTTTTTTTTACTTTCATCTTCATATCCAGATAATTAATGGGATAAAACCTCATTAAATAGTAACAATATCCAAAATTAAAGGGCTTAAAACTCATTAAATAGTAAGAATAACAAAATAAATAAAGGGATGAAACCTCATTAAATAGTAGTGGAATATTAACTCTATATATAAGATAGTCTGATGCTCATTCCTTTCATTATCAAAAATCCCATTGTTGAAGATAAACAAAAAAGATGGAACACTCTTTACCTTTGTTTAACGTTCTGTTTCTCCTAGTGTTGTTTTTCATGGGCAATGCAGGTACCATTTCTTTCTTTTTATATTTAGTAATAATTCAATTTTAACTTTTTTTTATCCACGATAATTTTTAGTCACAGAAACTTTTACTTTAGTTTCAATAGTTTTCTTTTATTTTTTATACTCCATACCTAATCAAACATATTCATAAAGTGGGACGAAGGCCGTATATTAATTAGACAACAATAAAGTTTGAAAATAAAATTTAAAAAAAAAAAAAAGAAGAAGAAGAAGAAGAATATTTTTTTTTTAATTTTTTTCTTTTTTTTGTTTATGACAGACGCAAATATTTGTGTTGAATTAAGCCGCACATTTAAGGGGATGTGTTTAAATTGGGACAAGTGTAACGATGCCTGCAAAAGCGAGGGTTTCCTTCTTGGACAGTGCACTCTATATGGCTTCCCACGCCATTGCTACTGCCAAAAGCCATGTACTGCCAATTATCATCTCCCTTAATTATTTTTTTATTTTCTTATTAATGTTTATGAGCCTTAAACTAAATACTTAGCCTATAATTACCCTAATGTATCCTATGTTGATCAATTATAGAAATAGTATTTGGGAATTTTGTATACTACATTATATTCTACCCCTTTACCTCTTTGATTTTGGATTTTTTTTTTTGTGCATCCGGTATCTAAAATCCATTTGCCTAACTAATTTGGATTTCGGACGATCCATTAAAGGGGAAAACGCTCGTTACAAAGAGCTTTTCCATTCTTATGACTTAAATTCGAGACTTCTAATTAAGAAAAAAATCATTTATCCCACTATGCTGGATTTCGCTATATGATCCACTAAAGGGAGAAATTCAAAAATAGTTAGATTTATAAGTAGTAAGTAAAAAAAATAGCCAGTTTCGAAAGTAATCAAAATTTAGCCGTTTTTCATGTAAAGATAAATCTGAACGAAAACACTGTTCAAAATCTGAAAAATATTCCAGCATAATATGCTGGAAGTTCATACACAGGTACTCCAATCTCCAGTATATTATGCTGGAACTTTCCGTGTTGCAGCAAAATAGTGGCTATTTTTTAATGACTTTGCAAATGCTGGCTATTTTTCAATTACCAATCCGAAAATTAGCTAGCCCATGCTATTTTCACTTGGGGTAAACATTACCCGGTTTAGCCCATAAGTAATTTTCTCACCTCTTATGTGCTTGGCCTATGAGAAATATTTGGCAAAGATTACTTTTAACCTGCAATCAAAACTATTTACATTCAGTAACCGTAAAAGTGTATAAAATATATATATTTTTTCTATATAACATACATAAATGTGTGTGTGTGTATATATATATATATATATATATATATATATATATATATATATATATATATATATATATATATATATATATATATATTCGGCTATTATTTTAAGAACGACTATACAATGTAATATTCCCAGAAATATTCGGTGTGATTGGGGTATGTTCATCTCCTGCTTTAATTTTATTAAAGTCCGGTTGATATTAGTCCTTAGGTTTTAACTTTCCGAATTAGATATTTAAAAAAATAGTTCCTTAATGTGTGATTATGATTCTATTTTTTATTCTTAGAAACTGATTAAGAGTAAAATTCATATTTACCATCATTTTGAAATTGCGTTAAAATTTGAAGCTATTAGGTAAATATTTGAGTCATTTGGTGATGTTTTTGACTAATTTCGAATGGAGTTTTGTGAGTTGATGTTCGTAGGAGACGAAATTTAATTTTTGTATAATAGTGTAAAAGTGTGTGTAAATATCTTTTATATGCTATTATACGCTTTTATACAAGGTTGATAGATTGTTTACAGCAAGTATATAATATTATATATACGGTGTATAAATATTATTGCAAATAATAATTGGCTATGCGACTGTAAACCTAAAAACATGGTTACATATGTGCAATGTGTTGTTTGGCTGTTTATTTGTGCAAATATCGCAAAAGAAAAAAGTGGAAATAGAAGAAACGAAGTAGAAATGACATTAGGTAGCCATTTTAAAGGGCTGCTATTTTAGGACAAAAATATTCTGAATTGTCCTGAAGTTATGATTTTTTGTTTAAAATTTCAGGACAAAATAAGTATCGGTTAATCTGTAAATAACATCCCTGAAAATAGTTATATATGCACTCTCCCCAAAACGAAATTGTACTCCCAAAAAAGTTGAAATGAGAAAAAAATAAAATTGATCCATTTTCTAATTGTCCTATTCCACAATAGGTAAAGGGGTGAAACCTCATGATTAAAGAGTAACAATATGCAGATAAATAAATAGATGAAACCTCATTAAATAGTATTCTAACAATATAAGAAAATTAAAGGAATGACCTCATTCAAATAGTAACAAAATCAAGATAGTTATTAAAAGAATGGAACCTCGTTATATAGTATTCTAACAATGTCAAAAAAATTAAAGGTATGAAACCTCATTAAATAGTATAACAAAATCCAGAAAATTATTAAAAGGATGGAACCTTGTTGAATAGTATTCTAAAAATATCCAAACATTAAAGGTATGAAACCAAATTAAATAGTAACAAAATCCAGATAATTATTAGAGAAATGAAACCTCATTAAATAGTAATGAACAATTAACTCTATATAAGCTATCCACATCCTTTCATTATCAAAATTCAAATTTCAAGAAAAACAGAAAGTATGGAAAAATCTTCGCCTTTGTTTAAAGTTCTATTTCTCCTTGTGTTGTATTTCATGGGCAATGCAGGTACCATCTCTTTACTCTTTACACTTTTTATACAAATCAAAAATTAAAAATGAGAAAAGAAACCTTTTTATTAAAAAATGTCACAATTTTTAATCGAATAATTGGTGATTCTAATCTTTTCTTCGATCAATCAATCAATCAATTGTGCCTCAAAATAATTCAGGAGGTTTTGTATTCTCTCTATTTATTATTCAGAAGTTTTTTTTGTGCTACGACCTTATTTACCTAATCGTCCATTTATAGTATGTTTGGCCAAGTTTTTAAATTCTATTTAGTGCACTTTTGATCAGCAATTAGTGATTGACCAAACTTTTAAAAAGTGTTTCTAAATGTATTTTTCTCAAAACTGCTCTTGGGAAGAAGATATATATATATATATATTTTGCTTCTAAAAAGTTATTTTTGCTTCTATTCAAAAATATTTTTTCCTTCTAAGAACTAGGCCAAACACTTTGTAGGCGTTTGGCCATAAGTTTTGAAAGTTTATTTCAAAAAACCTTTCTAATATGTGTTTGTTTATAGAATTAATCTAGTTTTTGCCTTTTTGGAGATTTTGAAATCAAAACTTCAAATCCCAAATATAGCTTAAAAACCTCTTTTTTGGTCAAATCATGACCATCCGGGACTTTTTAGCTGAAAAGGGGGGGGGGGGGGGGAAGCGGACTGTTTAACATGCCAAAACTTGCCCCAAGATTCATGTCCAAACACATTTTAATTTCAAATCGAACTTCACCCACAGCTTTTTCAAAAAATATTTGGGAATTTATGTCCAAACGGGTCCTTTAACTTTAAAAAATAGCACTTTTGGCCAAAAAGAAACTTGGTCAAATACGCTATTATTGCAACTTACCTAATTTTAGTCAGTTACTCAGTTATACTAATAAAACTAAGTTTGAGAAAGCAAAAAAAAAAAAGAGAAACACAAGAGAACTTTATTTTTTGTATTATTTTTGTTCATATTAATCTTAATTAAATTTTCTTTTTTTAATTGTGACAGAGGCAAAGGTTTGTATTGGATTTAGCAAAACATACAAGGGGCCATGTACAGAGAAGGTAGACGCTGGAAAATGTACAGATGCATGCAAAAAAGAGGGTTTTGTATTCGGACAGTGTACTAGCTTTA